ACATTACTTAAACGAAATCCCTCATCTTCACTCATCACTACTATTAATGCTAAAATCATCACCTCTCTCAGATCAATCACTTACATCTATAATCCTGGAATCTCTATCCGCTATTACAGTTGATTGATATACTAAGTATGCATGTAATACACTATTGGACACAATCATATGCACTTTTTTCTACTAATCAGATGGCGTCAATCTCATATAAATGGGCAAGGGAAAAAAAAAAAAAAAACCTGTTAAAAATCTTGAGACCATTACGCTATAACACAAAGTGGAATCAATATTTGATTAAATATGTTCTTGATTATTTGGCGGGTGAACATGCACGACGAATTAAAGATTTGTTTTAATCTAAAACGTTGTGATGCCGTCTTGAATGTTCCTTGTAGGAAAGCTTTCGTGTGTGACGTCATCTCTATCTGGTTCTTTGTCTCACAGTGATTTCTCGGCCAAACAAGTCAGGTTTCGCCCCTGGGTTGAATGACAAATTATTTTTCTGACGAAATAATCTAAAATAATAGGCCTACACATAACTGTACTGCAGACGTGCCCTCCATTTATAAAAAACAGAGAGGCCAATATAATTGGCAACTAGATGCGACCTTTGCGCTCTGTGGGCAATCGTTGAATTCGCCGGGGAGGCTGATATCACCACTGAGAGGTGGTCGGTAAGGTCTCGTGCAGATCAAGTATCACATCGTGACGGGGGGAAGGGGGGGGGGGGGGTTACATAAACGTTGCGAGCGAGCGTTGATAAACGAAGATGAAGAAGCGACTTCCTGTAGAGAGTCAAATAAATAGCAGTGAACTCGTGTTGTCTCTTGAGACGCCTTCAAATCTGCAACGTTCTTTTTGAACGTTAATATGGTAATATAATATTAGTCTGGATTTACTTGAAGCTGAATGAAAATTATTGTCAGCAGTCAATCTCTTGTCCACTCTCCAGGCGACAAAAAGCGATGGGTGCCGCTGGTCCTGTCCAGTTGAAGAACCGCCCCTGAGTTCAACATTTTACGTCGATCAATACAAAGAGCTACTGCAGATTTTTATTCATATTCTCAGTTTAACAGACGATCCTGTGGTATGGCGTCACAACTAAGGCGGGGGGTGGGGGGAGGTGCCACCACCAGTAATGGATCCAGGACACATTGTCAAGCAGGCTAGTGCCGCTAAACAAGATGCTCACACTTTCTACCCTGTTTGCGAGGGAGAGTCGGTGTCTAATTGTGCGCGTGTGAGCAGGGAGGAGATGCGCGAAGTCCCTCGGAGGAGAGTGAAAAGTGTCGCGCACGGGAGGAACAGGGGAGAGAATGAGAGAAAGAGTGAGAGAGAAAGTCTGTCACTGTCATGTGCATTTTGTGTTGGTTGGCACACCTGAGGAGAGTTGTATCTGTGAAAGGTGCGGATTGCTTTGTTTCAACGGACAGACAGACAGTAACAGTTGTCTGTGTCAGATTAGGAGACGTTTTGTCCTATTGACAGATCGGTGGAATGACAACAGACAGACTGATGTTTGTGAGAGAAAAAGAGACGTTATGTGCTACTGACAGAACCTTAGAATATCAACAGACAGACAGACTGACAAACAGTTAGAAAGGAATAGTTGTTTTTTAAGTTGATCTTTTTTGGTTTTGTTTAGTGTTTTGTTTGTTTGTTGCTTTGTTTGTGTGGAAAAAAGACCGAGAAGTTGCTCTAACCAAGAGACAAAACAACAGACAGGAGGACTGAACAATGTGATGGGTTTGAGTTGAAAAGTGATCCACTCTTGACACCACAGCGGTCTTTGATACTGGATAAAGAAACAAAAGAGACAGAGGAAAAAACAACAGAAGAGTTTTAAAGACGTTTCACCTGTCAGTGACGTCCCCTTCTAATGGACGGTGGGTTGGAGGTGTCATCAGTGGCACGGAGTGGCACGGAGACCTCTGAGGATGACGTACAATGATCGGCCTAACACCACACCACTGATGGTGGCAGCTCAGAGAACCGGTCCTGTGAGATAAGGCAAAACTAGGAACTACCAGGACACTCTACAACCACGCAACGTTGCCCTCAGGTAGGGTGGTGTATGTTTCATTTCCCCAGTCCAATTACGTCAGTCTGCTACCCCAGAATTACATATATCTATATGTGAGGCAGCGTGGTGGAATCAGGCTCTCGTCAACAAAGTAATCAAAGTGAAGAAACTTGCATTTTCCCGCACGTTTGTGAATTTTTATCAAATTTTTGTTTTTTGGCTCAACACCTTTTATGCCCATTAAAGAACTCATTGCTGTGTTGTTTTTTTTCTGAAAAGCTTTGATTAAAGGCACAAAAAAGTAAATTTTCAGTTACCACGGACTCTTAAACTAAGGAAATAACTAATCTTTGGCCGCCATTTTCTCACTAATTTTACCTCTGAAAACAGGTAACCCTACCTCCTTCATTCGCAAATATCTCGACTTGTATTCAAGATAAATGGACATTTTTTAATCCGAATAAAGACAAGTGAACAAGCTTTAAGATGATACCAATAACTCTACATGCCCAAAAATTGGCGAGAGCCTGATTCCACAGCATTGTGACACATGCTGAGTACGGTATCTAGTTTTGAGAAATTTGACGCACAACATCGACCTCAGAGCTTTCTTGTCGCATCTCCATTTTTAATAACAGTGAAAACAGTTCATAAAAAAAGAGTGACTTTAAGAAATAGTCACATTTTCACTGTTAAAAAAAGGCGGTACGACAAGAAAGCACTGAGGCCGAGAAATGTCAAGTCTTTTTGAACGCAATTCTTTGAATAGTTTGATAACGGCTCCGAACAATCCTACGATTTTAATAGGACAGAAAGAACATAATTTGGCTTCTGACATCATGTTCTTAGAAATAAAACAAAAAATGGGCCAAAATGTCAGATAGAATTGAGTGATTCTGAGGTCTTCAAGTTGTCGGCTCGACTATTTGTCTGATCGTTTGTTGACCATTTGCATTGTTGCTCACATTTTCCCTGTTGACTACATTTTGCGTGTTTGTTTGTGTG